AGAGGGAGAAGCAGGCTCCCAAGGAGCAGGGAGCCCGATGCGGGACTCGATCCCAGGACCCTGGGATCATGACCTGAGCCGAAGGCAGACGCTTAACCGTCTGAGCCACCCAGGCGCCCTGGAAACTTAATTTAAAAAAAATTTTTTAAGCTTCCTTTTTTGCAAATTTTATTTTCTCCCTAAGCTGAATTAGAAGATTTTGCTGGAGTGTTGCGCAGAACCACCCAAGGAAAACTTTCAGGCTGTTTGGTTTTTTATCAAATTCATAAGAGCATGTCACACATATTTCACTAAAGTTAGAAGAAATATGAAAGAGGTCAGAAAAATAGCATGTAGAATAAAAAGAAATGATTTGAAACCATCTACTTCTATGAAACAGCCTTTTACTCTCCTTTTGCAGAGCATCATAAATATGTGCATATGAATTATAGGAGAGAAAGAGAAACTTCAGAAGAACCTTTGCTTTGTTACAGATTGGTCACTGCTATCCAGAACATTTAAGTAATTATCCTCAAGAGCTGAAAGATCTTCTCTCCTACAATCACACTGTCTTGGATCCAGATCTTCGAATGGTAGGTCCAGTATTTGGATTGATATATTGTGCTGTGTTTATGTGTGCAAATAATATGTGTTTAAATGAGAACAGCCTCAGCTAAACGTCTTCTTAAAATGTAAATCAGAATGTGTCACCTCTTCCTTAAAATCTTTCTGTGGCTTCTCATTTATACTTAGAGTAAAACTCTACAATACTTACATGGCCTGTAAGTCCCTACGTGATCTGCTTTCCAATGTTTTGGGTTTTTTGCGGGGGGAACGGTTGTTTTTTTTTGTTTTTGTTTTTTTAAAGATTATTTATTTATTTATTTGACACAGAGAGAGACAGCGAGAGAGGGAACACAAGCAGGGGGAGTGGGAGAGGGAGAAACAGGCTTCTTGCCGAGCAGAGAGCCCGATGTGGGGCTCGATCCCAGGACCCTGGGATTATGACCTGAGCCAAAGGCAGACGCTTAACGACTGAGCCACCCAGGCGCCCTGGTTGTTTTTTTTTTTAAGATTTTATTTTTAAGTAACCTTTACACCCAATGTGGGGTCCAAACTCACAACCCTGAGATCAAGAGTTGCATGCTCCTGTGAAGTGTGCAAGATTGTTGAATCACAGATCTGTACCTCTGAAGCAAATAATACATTATATGTTGAAAAAAAAAGAAGAAGAAGAAGATAGCAGGAGGGGAAGAA